GTTTTAACTTTTACTAATTAATTTATTTTATGTGTACAGATGTATTTTATGTGTATGTATTTTATGCGTGGATATAGTTGCACCACGTTTATGCCTGATGCCTGTAGAGGCCAGGAGGCATCTGATATCCTGGAACTGCAGTTACCGGCCATTGTGTACCATCATGTGGGTGCTGAGAACCAAACCCAAATCCTCTAGAAGAGGACACAGTGCTCTTAACAGCAGACACATCACCCCAGCCCTTTGATAGTCTTTTTATGTGGTTGTACTTGGATTAAATGAGGCTAGCTGAAGAGATCAAAGACATAAGCACATTATTTAAGAATAACACAGAATTTATGGAAACACTAGTTTGGGCATCAAAATAACCCAATTTCATGGCAAAAGAAGCCACTAAGTAGGGCTCCATTAAAGGGCAGAGAGCCACCATGGCAGCAGCTATAACGAGGAAAATCTCCTTAGAGTTTTATGTAGACTTGTAGAGGCCTGAACATACTTCTGAGAAAAGCTGCATTTTTAAATTTTAAAAGTCCTACTAGAAGGAGGTGGGTTTTGACAAGAGAGAAAGTTGGGAAACACATTCAGGAATCACAGCCCACATCCTTGCCCCCCAGAAGTGCTACCCAGTGGGAAAGCTGGAGGACACAGAGAATGGTGGCCACAGGTGTTCTCATGAAAAATACACTCTAAGTAAATGTGTAAAAGCAAATGCCCAATCCCGAATCTGTCTCTTTGTCCAGGCCACAGACCTAACTCCCCGTCTACAGCAACAATCTTCTCCACTTCTCCAGGTGATCTTGCAGAGCCATGTGAGCAATGTGCAAGCTTTCGGGATGAATCTTTCAGTGCGCTTCGCTGTCTATGTTCTTGATTTTAGTAAGGACTGAGTAAGGTCCGGCTATAGGCCAAGCATCTGAACTATGAGATTGAAGAAAACAGGCACAGTTCACAACTTCAAGGAGCTTTTGACCCAGAAATGGTCAGCTTCCTTGGACCAACAAAAAACCAGCTTCTTTTAAGTCTACTCCCTGTCCTTATCCTGTATTGCCTTTCCCATAGAAACCCCCAAGATGAGATGAGAAAAACTGACTTTACTTAGGAAAATTTTTATCTGACCACAAATATGATGATAGGAACTGTGCAGAACAGTTAGGGGAAGTGGTGATTCTTGCACACAAGAAACGGTCAATGTGCAGTTTGGGATGAGAATGGAACAAGCTTCCAGGGCAGGTACACTGGCATTTATTTTTTTGCCAATTTACTTGTAATTCGCTCCTTTTTTCTCCCCTTACCCTTTTCCTCTCCTCGCCTTCCTCATCACCTTTCTGAATATCTGAAGGCACAATATACACTAAACAAGCTAGACATAACTTTACACATAGATAAGTCACATGTCACACACGCTGGGAACCCAGGCATGCTACATATGGACTGTTGGTTCACAGCAAGACTCAAACATATGATATTAACTGCGCTTTCACTGTTAAGGAAATGACGATCCAAACAAGCAAAATTATATGTACCTAACTGCTTTCCAACACAAGCCGGATGCTCAGCCCAGTGCCCCCTGTGGCTAGTCCCCCATGGTTCCTCTTAGGTCCTAAAGCTTAAACAAGTCAGTAGCCAACTTCGTGTATATGAATGTAAACAAGAGGGCTCGCCTTTAAATAATTATGTCAAAGAAATGACAACTGTGCTCTTTGCCAGAACTGGGATGAATAATTGCAAAGCCAAGACATAATTAAGCAATTGTGACTGTCGGGTTGTTTAGCTGCTTCTCTGATGTGCAAGGCTGCTGTGTCACCACATGTGCCCTCCTGGACGGGCTTCTGTGCTTCTTTGATCTACATTTCCCGGTGCAGCAATGGGGGTCGTGGTCTGGTCATTCGAGATGCCTTTCACTGGGAGCCTTGAGCCTCTCAGTGTCTGGTTTGGTGCTCTCTTTACTGACAATGGCTTGATTTGATGGCTAAGATTGACAAAGATATATATTTTCTTTAAAATTCTGGGAAATAAGCAAATCCTAGCTGTTGCAGGTCCATTAAGTGTTAACACACACACACACACACACACACACACACACACACCACACACACACACAGACAGACACTCATATAGTGTGGGCCTGTCTATCTCTAAGAGCACACTGTAACATTAGCTATCAGTTTCTCATGAATGACAGCATCTTTCCAAAGAACCATTCAAACTCAGAAGAAAAGGCATCTTTGAATCAACAAAAGCCAAAGAGCAGTCACAGAGGCAAAATGTGTCATCAGGAGCAAGAGGTAGAGAGAACTTGGACTCAAGTGTCCAGGCCTGCCAGGTACCAAATCAAACGTTGGTGACACAGGGTTGATTAGCTCCTGGCTGATCTTGCATTTGCGTCAGCCTAGAACACCCAGCCTGCCCATTCCCTACCTGGAAGGCAAGGGCTATGATTGGAGAGGCATTTTCCATTCTCCCAAATACTTTATGTCAGGAATAAAATGAAAACAGCTCCCCAAATCACAGCCTCCTTGATCATCCATCAGAACATTGTGCTGAATAAGCACAACAGGCCCCTGCTGCCCTAGAAAGGACAGAAGCCAGCCAACTTGAGATTCTGATTCTGTTATGAAAAATAGGTCTTCAGCAAGTGTGTGCTGCGCAGCTCCAGCAATTTGAGGGAAGGAAATTGCTCTCCACTTAGAAGCTGACTCCAGGTGTACACATGCCTCCCAGAACATACATATGTATATATACACGGAGGTGGAAAGGATACACACACACACACACACACACACACACACACACACACATCCACCTG